CAGTAACATGATCGCAATTCAAGCACTTGGCAACAGACTCACATTGATCAGTTACGACCAGTTGCAGCATCTCTGGTCATGTGATCACAGTCTGAGACCTTTCCTAGTCAGTTTCCAACAAAGAAGCATCAGTTTAGGATTGCTTCAATCCCTTACCTTTCCCTATTCTGCAGTGCTACTGGTGGAAATGTTTATGAGCCATGACTCATCTGTTGCAAATGTTGTAAAATGTGGATTGTTTAAATTGGATGTGAATTGGGTTATGAACTTGGGGGGGGGGGGGGGTTCCTTTGTTTTGTTTTGTTTCGTTTTATGTATGGGTTCCCTGAGATCTGAAAATTATTTCTAGGGTAAAAAGCTGAGAAAGGTTACTCTATCTCTCCAAATTTGGAAACTTAAAGACCTCCCCAGCCAGCCAAGTTTGGAGAATTCAGGGTGTTGAAGTACACAAGTCTTTAAGTTGCCAAGTTTGGAGACCCCCCTGGCTCTGATTAATTGTTCTAACTGTTAGAGAAATTTATCTTTAGTTCTAGATTGCTTCTCTCCTTGATTAGTTTTCCACCCATTGTTTCTTCTCCTGCCCTCAGGTGTTTTGGAGAATAGCTTGACTCCCTCTTCTTTGTGGCAGCCCCTGAGATACTGGAACACTGCTATCATGTCACTCCTAGTCCTTCTTTTCATCAAACTAGACATACCCGATTCCTGCAAATGTTCTTTATATGTTTTAGCCTCCAGTCCCCTAATCATCTTTGTTGCTCTTCTCTGCACTCTTTCTAGAGTCTCAACATCTTTTTATCTCATGACAACCAAACCTGGATGCAGTATTCCAAGTGCGGTCCTACCAAGGCATTGTAAAGTAGAACTAACACTTCACATGATCTTGATTCTACACTTCTGTTAATGCAGCTTTGAACAGTTGCTAAGCAAGTGGTCATTAAGCGAGGACTTACCTATATTACATATTGCCCACCGACCCCCAAAAAACCTATGGGTATAACCACAGAATCACTAGGATTGAGCACCTTCTCTGTCTGATTCCAAATATTCAGAGTGAGACCAGGGAGGGATGGACTTCAAAAATTTTAGCAACGGATTCTCTGCCTGGTTGCTAGATGGGTGTGGCTATGGTGGGCGTGGCCTAATCGGTCTCCTGTACCACAGGAGGTGCATTTTTGCCCTCCCCGGGCTCCGGAGGCTTTCCTTGAGCCTCCAGGAAGATGAAAACAGCCTCCGGAGGCTTTCTGGAAGCCGAAAACAGGCCCATTTCCGGCCTTCCCAAACTTCCAGGAGGCCTGTTTTTTGCTCGCCTTGCACTTCCCTGCATCCAAAATGGGCCGCATGGGGACTCCTGGGAGGGGAGGGGCGGGGAGGGGTGGGTGGGGCCAGCCAGGAGTGGAATTTGGGCGGGGGGGTTCTCCGAACTGCACAGAATCTTAGCTAGGGGCTCTTCTGAACCCCTTCGAACCCCCAGCCCACCCCTGAGTGAGACAGTACGCATAGTAACTTTAATAGACTTTGCGAGGTTTTCTGACAGCATCCTGAGGTAACAATTCAGCCAGGCTCACCTGCTCTGACTGAATGGAAATTGGAAAGCCAAGAATACCAGTCACAAGCTGGTTTCTGATTCAGGAGCAAGTGCCACGTGTCTGATTAGAAACAGTACTGTACTTCCGCCAGCATTCCTGGGCCAGCTTTCAGCTCGAGATTGTCCTAGTCTGACCTTAGTGGCTTATGCAAAGTTTGACAAGCTGGATGGAGCAAGAGAGTAGTACCATGAGCAGAGAATTGAAGATTGAAGAAATAGATTTGCAATCGCTTGGAAAGTCCAATTTAGTATTCCAGGCCTTGCAGAGCGGGGATACTTTGCGAAACATCTGGTGATGATCCGGGAATTGCTCTGACTGCCTGGAGATTTGCAGGAAAGATGTACAGGGGTGTGTGGTTTATTAGAAGCTGATATTAGACGCTATTCCATTTATGCTATGATTAGAGATGGACATGGCTGCTTCCTTGCATTATTCAACCGAGCTTGGCGGAGGACCCTTCTGTAAACTTCCTGAGAAAAACAACCCCTGGGTTGTATAAATAGAGGTACAGAATCAAAATCAGGTGAAGTATTAGCACCGCTTTATAAAACTCTAGTAAGACCACACCTGGAATACTGCAAACAATTTTGGTCACCATATTATAAAAAAGGCGTTGAGACTTTGGAAAAAGTTCAGAAAAGAGTAACTAAGATGATCAAAGCCTGGAGACTAAAACATACAAAGAACGGCTGCAGGATTTGGGTTTGGCTAGTCTAAAGAAAAGAAGAATGAAGGGGTGACATGATAGCAGTATTCCAGTATTTGAGGGGCTACCACAAAGAAGAGGGGGTCAAATTATTCTCCAAACCACCGGAGGGCAGGACAAGAAACAATGGATGGAAACTCATCAAGGAGAGAAGCAACCTGGAATTAAGGAGAAACTTCCAAACAGTGAGGACAATTAATCAGTGGAACAGCTTGCTTCCAAAAATCATGGGTGCTCCATCACTGATGTCTTTAAGAAGAGTCTAGACAGTCATTTATCTGAAATGGTATAGGTTCTCCTGCTTGAGCAGGAGCTGGACTAGAAGACCTCCAAAGTCCCTTTCCAACTCACTCACTCACTCACTCACTCACTCATTCATTCATTCATTCATTCATTCATTCATTCATTCATTCATTCAAATTTCTCCTTAGTTCTAGGCTGGATCTCTTCTTGACTAGTTTCCATCCTATTTAAGTAGATCCATTGCTTCTTGTCCTGCCTTCAGGTGCTTTGGAGAATAGCTTGACTACCTCTTCTTTGTGGCAGCCCCTCAGATATTGGAAGACTGCTACGATGTCCTTCCTAGTCCTACTTTTCATTAATCTAGACATACCCAGTTCCAGCAACCATTCATTATATGTTTAACCTCCAGCCCCCTAATCATCTTTGTGGCTCTTTTCTGCACTCTGTATATTTTATCCAGCAATTCTCTCCATAACATTGCATGCCATCTCTTTCTAAAATCAGGGAAATCTGCCTTGGCAAATTAGCAGCCAAAGAAACTTTCCCAATTTCATAAACCCACAGATTTCTTTTTAACTTCCTTTCCTGGTGAAGTTACTAAACCTGCATTCCAACCACAGGTATGAATGCAATTTGAACTTCCTGGAAAGATTTACTCTCCTGAAAGCTTTTCCCATCAGATTCTGTCATGGGGCCTGAACAGAGTTGGCAAAACTTCAAACTAGTATACTTTGGAAACTCCTTAGGGAAATGAGACACTATTCAGTGGTCACGATAAATTAAGACTGATAGCTAAAGGATGTGCCAATGCAGTAATTACCCATGACAAGTTAGGGAATTCAGAACAAAATCTATTTTCTTCCTTCAGCTTCCTACAATTGATTTGGGGCTTCGAAAAATGCTATACGCTTTATGGGTATCAGATGTGTTAGGTTTTATTTCCTATTAATAAAATTTAATTAACTTATGTCCTTTAAAACATAAAGCTGGGCATAAAATAGGCTATAAACCAAGCCAAATCGTACTTGTAGAGAAACATTATTTATATTATACACAGAAAACTGCTTCTAGAGTATGTTATGAAGTACTAGCAAAGACACTGGAAACATGGAGGCTGATTGGAAAGGTGGTTTAATGGTGAAGCAGAATTGCACATGGGTGGTTCTGGGCAGCTGACCACATGGAGTTGAGAGTGAGGGGTTTTTATACCTTCTCTTGGGCTTTGAGATTGAGCTTCCTGTTCCTGTGCAAGAACATGTATTCTATTGGCTGCTGTCAGACTCCCATGGAGCTATGCAGGGGTCATAGCCAGTGGTGGGATGCTGCCGGTTTGGACCGGTTCTAGAGAATCTGTAGCTCTGACCAACAGCTGGCCCCACCCACCCGCCTATCCTGTCCTATATTTCCTTCTTTCTGGCTCAGCTGATTTGTGCAGCACAGCTGATTTCTGTGCCTCAGCTGTTCCATATACCGAGGCTGCCCTAGAAGGTAAGCAATTGAGCTTCACATTGCTATATTTTGATTGCAAAGCGCACACTCACAGAACCAGCTGTTAAACCACTTGTAGCCCACCACTGGATAGCTGAGGTTGTCTGAGCTCCCAGGTTTGGTTGAAGTTTGGCTGCTGCAATATCCTTAGGAGATTGTGCAATGTAGTGAGTTTTGCTGCTAGTGGGCTAATCCTATTATGTCCTGGAGGGCCGGGGTGGGATTCAAATTTTTTTAACAACCGGTTCTGTGGGCAGGGCTTAGTTGGTGGGTGTGGCTTGGTGGTCATGTGACTGGGTGAGCGTGGCTTGGTGGTCATGTTATTGGCTGTGCGTGGCCAACTCAATATCACTTGCATCGAGGCACGCATCTCCTCAACTGGCCTCTCATGACTGTGGGGATGCTGTAACAGTCGTAAGTGTGAAAAATGGTCATGTCACTTTTTTCAGTGCCATTGTAACTTTGAATGGTCACTCCACACAAGCAAAGGAGGGGGAAAAAAACTCCAGAGATGTTCCAGAGACAGGAAGTCTAGTCCTGCCAAGAATGTAATAAGGGTTAACAGAGAGGCAGTTTCTGTAAGCAACACCAGAATGTTTCCTTCCTGTCTTCCTTACAGGATTAGGCCAGTAATTTCTTCTAACAACCGGTTCTCCGAACTGCTTAGAATGTCAACAACTGGTTCTACCGAATAGGTGCGAACTGGTAGAATCCCACCCCTGTGGAGGGCCATGTTTAATCCCATCATCCTGGAAACTGAAGGTCTTTTGTTTTGTAGATAGGAGGGCCCAGTCTTTCTTAATGGACACAAAATATCTGCTGGGGGCTATTAAGAAAGACTTGGGGCAGGGGTGGAATTCTACTGGTTCGGCCTGGTTTCATAGAACCGGTAGCTCTGAAGAGCAGCTGACAAGATATTTCATTCTTCTAGGAGAGGTTTTTTTTTCTTTTTGCATCTCTAATTCTTTTCCTCTTAGGTCACAAGCTGAACACTAGCAGACAAAGAAAACTGTTCTGAAACCATCCAATCTGATTTCTTTCTCCCACCTTGGACCTATCCATGTGATGATAGAAGGAACATGGCCACTGAAAATTTTGCGGAAATCCTGATCAGACTCAAGGAAACACACGAGAAAGAAGTCCAAGGTAAGAAATGGGGTGTGAGTGTGTGTGTGTGTGTGTGTGTGTGTGAGCGAGAGAGAGGGGGGGAGAGAGAGAGAGGGAGGGAGGGAGAGAGAGAGAGAGAAACACAGCCACCATACTTGCCTGATGATTAATTGGCTGAATAGATTTGAGGTAGAGATGTTTAAAATGTAAGACTCGGGTTAAAAAGTGGATGAAAAGTAGAACAATTGCTGATTTTTGCAGAGTTGTGCATACAGCTTCGCTCAAAAGATCACAGGTTGTTTCTAAACTCTTCCAGGCCTGCAAACCAAACTGAATGAACTAACCAATGAGAAATGCCGGTGAGTAAAACAAATGCCATCTATCGGGCATGGGTTCTTGGATTTCAGTTCTTTAGGACAAGACAAACTTGATTAAAATATAAAGTAAACTTTAAGATTCATCCCTATCATCTTAAGAGCTTCGGGCCTCAAAATCTTTGTCTGGTATCTTCTGAGGGGAAAATCTGAACAAAATGATTTTGGAATAATGGTATGTTAAATAACTACAATTGGCTGGTTGATCTACCCTAAGCCATAAATGACTACTCACCAAGCACAGTGTCTATGTGTGTCAAACCAGAATGAAGCCATGTTTTGTTTAGCATGATGGGCAAACAATTTCTGTCTCCTGAGGACAAATAGTCCATGATCTACAAACATTTGTTTAGTGACTGAAGCTAAAGTGGCACTGAAAAAATTAACTTATAACTGGTCCTCGCGCTAGTGACCATTGCATTATCCTCACAGACACATGATCAAAATTTGGTTGCTTGGCAACGTGCATGTATTTACAATAGTTAGAGCATCCTAGGATCATGGAGTCATTATTTGTGACCTTCCCAGCTGGCTTCCGACAAGTCAAGGGTGGGGAGTGGATTCACTAAACGACCCCATGGTTCACTTAACAACTGCAGTGATTCACTTAACATTTGTGGCAAAAAAAATCATTGAAGTGCAACTCACTTATCAACCTCCTTGCTCAGCAGCAGAAATTCTTACCAATTGTGATTGTAAGTTGAGGACTATCTGTACTTTATCTAATCTTAATCATCCTATCAGCTCCCATTACAGGTAATCTTCAACCTATGGCCACAATTGAGTCTAAAATTTCTGTTAAGTAAAGTATTTCTTAAGTGATTTTGCCTGATTCTACAATCTTTCTGGATGTTCTCCACTTTTTCATCGGTTTTCCCTGTTCTTTGTTCTTTGTTCAATGTTCTCTGTTCTTTGTTCGATGTTTTCTATTCTCTTTTCAATATTCTCTGATCTTGCTTGAATATTTTAAATTCCTTGCATAATCATCTGCAGAGTCACTTTTTCTTGTTCTTTTTCTTGCTTTAACATTGTCTGTATTGGAGAGGAAGAAGTAGAAGTTGAAGAACCAGGAGCTGTAAATTTCCTACTCATTTTAAGCAATTCAAAATCTTCAGGTTCTTCTAAACCTTAATCCAATTGTGAAGTAACCAATTATAGTTCAAAATAAAAATAGTAGAAAAAAGAAGCCCAATAATAATAATTTTAAAAAAAAGAAAAAAGAAGGGAGGACAAAATTTCTTCAGGTTCTTGTATACCTTAATCCAATCAATAGTTAGATGAAAAAAAAGGCTTAAGAAAAAAAGGGGGGGGAAAAGGAAAAGGAAAAATTCTTCAGGTTCTTCAACACCTTAATCCAATTGAAAGGTCTCAAATAGAAAAAAGTACATAAGAATAACCCAGAAAGGTAGATGAAAAAACAAAAATACCAGGAAAGGGGAAAAAAAGGCTTTTAAGGCTTTCCCTTTAAAATAAAAAGCAAACGTAGAGATTGGACTTCCAAAGAAAAAAAGAAAAACAAAGATAAGCTCCAACAAAGCCAAAAACCCATATAGTTATTTCACAAAAAAAAGATAAAAAGAAATACAATAAAGCTGGTGAGGAGGGATAGCACAACTTAGAAAAAGTAAAAAGGGCACACTGCATTTTGTTTAATTATCCAAGGCTCTTATTATAGCTCTCTTCTCCAAAGACTTATCACCTTTTTCCCCCCTAAGTTTCAACACCAGACTCCAGCTGTTGATAGAAACCCAGAAGAGCACCTGCAATAATACTTTCCCATGCTCTTCCCTCTATCTTATCAAATAGCAATGTCCTTGAAAAAGAGTCTCAGTTCTTTCTTTCTCAGCTTTGTCAGGTCACAGGGAAATAGAATATTTTCAAGCCTCTAGTTGGCAGTGTTACAAAGTTTCTTTGCTCTCACTTTCCCCCTCCTTTTCCGAGCAGGATATAATAAGAATTAATAAAAGAAAAGAAAAGAAAAAGATATTTTTAAAAAATGAAATAACTAAAGGGAGCCTCTAGCCTAAAATATCACAAAATCAAAAAGGAGAAGAAAAAAATAGATATAAACGAAAAAACCAGTCCAGTTTTAAAATACAAGATCATATATAGAAAATCCAGCAATGAGAAGAAAAAAACCAAAACACATTACTTTGACATTCCTGTTTAAAATCGCCGCTTAATCACTTCTGTCAAAACTTTTACAGATTCTTTCCTTTCCTTAGAGTGTTCTTTCAGATCTTAGAATAAAGAAAAAGTTCTCACCAAACTGGCACACTCTCTCTTTCTGTTCTCTTCTGTTTCGGAGCTGTCCCAACTTCAGCAGCTTTAATGGCTGCCTCTTTGCCGCTGGCAAGAAGAGCTTCTCCTGGATCTACCAGGGACTTTGTGGGATACCTGGGATCGACAGGATGCGCTCTTCACTTTCACCATCTCTTCGGGACAGTTTAGATCCGATAGGACCGTCCAGGAGCAAAGATATCGGCAGCGATCTCAGACCTCCAAGATCACATGCCGTATCGTCGCGACGCCAGCTCCGCCCTCCTTGATACTACAATCTTTCTGAATAGAAATAGAAATAGAAATAATAGAAATAGAAATAGAATAAACAGAGTTATATAGAATATATAGAATAACAAAATGGAAGGGACCTTGGAGGTCTTCAAGTCTAATCCAACCCCTGCTCAGGCAGGAATCCCTATACCATTTCAGACAAATGGTTGTCCAATCTCTTCTTTAAAACTTCCAGTATTGGAGAATTTATGACTTTTGGGTTGTTTGACTGATTAATTGTTCTAACTGTCAGGAAATTTCTCCTTAGTTCTAGGTTGCTTCTCTCCGTGTTTAGTTTCCATCCATTGCTTCTTTTCCTGCCTTCAGGTGCTTTGTGGAATAGCTTGACTCCTTCTTCTTAGTGGCAACCCCTGAGATATTGAAACACCGGTATCATGTCACCCATAGTCCGTCTTTTCATTAAACTAGACATATCCAGTTCCAGCAACCGTTCTTCATATGTTTTATCCTCCAGTCCCCTAATCATCTTTGTTGCTCTTCTCTGCACTCTTCCTAGAGTATCAACATCTTTTTTACATCGTGGCAACCAAAACTGGATGCAGTATTCCAAGTGTGGTCTTACCAAGACATTATAAAGCGGTATTAACACTTCACGTGATCTTGATTCTATGCCTCTGTTAATGCAGCCTAGAACTGTGTTGGCTTTTTGGCAGCTGTAGCACACTGCGGGTTCATATTTAAGTGATTGTCCACTAGGACTCACAGTTACTACTATTGAGCCAGGTACTACTAATACTGAACGTGTGCATTTAGTTTTTCTTGCACAAATGTAGAACCGTTTTTTTCACCATTAAATTTCATTTTGTTAGATAGCACCCAATGTTCAAGTTTATCAAAATCCTTATGAATCTTTAGCCTATCTGGAGTGTTGGCTATTCCTGACAGCTTGGTGTCGTCTACAATTTTAATGAGTTCCTCATCTATCCCCACATCCAAATCATTGATGAAGATGTTGAAGAGTACTTGGATGGGACCTTGGAGGTCTTCTAGTCCAACCCCCTCCTCAGGCAGGAAACCCTATACCATTTCAGACAAATGTCCAATCTCTTCTTGAAAACATCAAGTGTTGGAGCATTTACAACTTGTGGAGGCAAGTCATTCAACTGATTAATTGTTCTAATTGTTAGGAAATTTCTTCTTAGTTCTAGATTGCTTCTCTCCTTGATATACTTTCCATCCATTCTTGCCACAGTTGTTAAGTGAATCACTGCAGCTGTTAAGTTAGTAACACCGTTGTTAAGTGAATCTGGTTTCCCCATTGACTTTGCTTGTTAGAAGGTTACAAAAGGTGATCACATGGCCCCGGGATACTGCAAACATCAAAAATATGAGTCAGTTGCCAAGCATCTGAATTTTGATCATGTGACCAATGGATGCCACAATGGTCATGTGTGAAAAATAAGTCATTTTTTTCCACGGAATGAACTGTTGTTAAGTTACAAACTTCCTATACTTTAGTTTGAAAGTGTCAAACTAAACTTTAGTTTCAAACATGCAGTTTGAAAGAGAAAGTCAAGGAGAAATGGCAGAGATGCGTTTTGATACCTGGGAATAATATATTTTTTCCTCCTCCTCCTCCTTCTCCCTTTTTAGGGACAACCAGAGAATTGAAGAGCTCTTTACCAAAAACCATCAACTGCGTGAACAACAAAAGGGACTTAAAGAAAATGTGAAAGTCCTGGAAAACAGGTAAACAGCCTCATCCTTGTTTCAAGGGGCATCTGCACAATAGGGGAAGGTTAAAAGTGTCATCGTGGCCACAACCACACAACTGAACATTTCTTTCATAAAAATTGGACAAGGTTAATCCAGTAATCCAGGTTGGGCAAGTTGTATAAACCCAGTTATTGGTATCACATATCTACAATAATTAATATATGAGCATCATAATTATAATCAATATACCGAACATCATTATCAATACAATGAACATAATGCACACATATCCACTGGAAATTGGCATTATGAGGTAGTTTTTGAGAACCGTGCCCGTTTGATATGATTTCTATTCTAGCCGAACTTGATTTTCAAGCATTCCATCCTGGTGAGAAAATATATATCAGGGTTAGAAAAGCGGAATCTAGATTAACAGAGTTGGAAGGGACCTTGAAGGTCTTCTAGTCCAACCCCCTTCTCGAGCAGAAGAGCCCATACCTTCTGGACAAATGTTGACCAATCTCTTCTTTAAAACTGCCCACAACTTCTGGAAGCAAGCCATTCCACTGATTAATTGTGACAGGAAATTTCTCTTTAATTCTACGTTGGATCTCTCTTTGAGAAGCTTCTATCTTTTATTTCTTATCCTCAGGTGCTTTGGGGAATAGCAGTCTGTGACAGTCCCTCAAATATTGGAAGACTGCTGTCATGTCATCTGTAGTCCTTCTCTTCATTAGAATAGATATACTTAATTCATCATAAAGCTTAGCTCCCAGCCCCGCCCCCCCCACCTGCCAACCAATTTTCTAGCTTTTGGGCAAATAAATAATGATTCTGAAAAATCTGAGTCCAAAAGTGGGCTGATGAAATATGCTTGAGGAAAAAAAAGAAAATCCACTGCCAAGATGGTCAGAAATTTGGGTCTGAGGCACAAATGGAATTTGAAAAAGCATCTCCATGGTTTTCATAAAGAGGAAAGAAGGAAGGAAGGAAGGAAGGAAGGAAGGAAGGAAGGAAGGAAGGAAGGATATTCAGACTTGCAAGATATCTGTTATTCTAACCTTTTCATAAAAGTAATATTAGCATTTATGACTTTGGTTTTCAAGTCTGGTCTACCTTGAAGTTCTAACAGTGGGGTTGGTGCAATATGTCTGTTCCCAGTTGGGTTTGCTACTCTAAAAACACCACCCTGCCATTTTAATTACCTGAAGGTTGCGAGCTGGACTCTGTGACAGATGCCAAGTGACCCAAGAACTTGCAAAGAAGAAGCAACATGAGTTTATGAAGGCCCATTTTCAAAGTCTTCAACACATCTTCATCCTAAGTAAGTTCAGCAAATAAAGAGATACCTGGAATAGTCAAAATATGGGAGATCCACCAGTTGAAAGATTTTGAAGTTGCAAACTTCATACAATATATTTAGTATCAGAAACCAGTTTTTCTGATGCTGGAAAATGCCATTTCTTATATTATAAGTTGTGGTGGCGTAGTGGTTAGAATGTAGTATTGCAGGCTACTTTTGCTGATTGCCATCTGCCAGCAATTTGGCAGTTCGATCTTGACCGGCTCAAGGTTGACTCGGGCTTCCCTCCTTCCAAGGTTGGTAAAATGAGGAGCTGGATTGTTGGGGACAATATGCTGATTCTGTAAGCCACTTATAGAGGGCTGTAAAGCACTGTGAAGAAAGATATATATAGAGATAGATAGATAGATAGATAGATAGATAGATAGATAGATAGATAGATAGATAGATAGATAGATAGATAGATAGATAGATAGATAATAGATAAGTCTACGTGCTGTTGCTATATATGTAGACTTGAGGGAAGGGGCTTGGTAGTTTTTCATTGTAAGTTTTGTGAGAGATGCAAAGAATGTTAAGTAATTGGTGGATCCTCCTTTCCAATTATCCATGTCCTCCTTTTCCTGTTCAGATACCTGATAGCCCTAGGCCTGGGACATACATGTTCTCATCTTAGCCAAAAGTCCCAGAACACCTGGAGGGCTGGGGAAAGTTGATCTAATCCAACATTTTTCTCTTTCTTTCCATTCCAGCTAATGAACTGAATAAGCTGAGAGAGGAAAACAAGAGCCTGAAGGAAGATTTGAAGAGGTTATGTGGCCCAGAGTAAGTGTTCCTAACTTTATCTCTTGATGTTTGGAATACTTCAAAGTGAAACCAATATGGCTGCCTTCTTCATAGCAAAAGTGGGCTGTCCCAGAATGTCTTCCTCCTGAAAAGGTCTTGGGAAAGGTCTGAGAAACCTCTAGGTCCACTTGGCCAATTAACTATGGAGATTCTCAGTCATCCAGGTCATGGTCGTCCCACAGGTGCTTTTTTCAAGAGGCAACTGGACTTTCTGGTTTTTGTTTGAAGGTGTTTCGCTTCTTATCCAAGAAGCTTCTTCAGCTCTGACTGGATTGGGGGGAATGGAAGGATTTATTATACTCCTTGCAGACAGTTGGTCATTTGCTTTCTTTTAAAGAGTCATTGAGGCCACCTAGAGGTTTATCTGTGTCATCAGAGTCACCTGAGTAGTACAAATTGGTGTGCACTTTCAGCTCTGAACACAGGGAGTTCAAAGTGAGATGGATTTGAAGGATCTCAAGAGATTCTGGTAGGCTTTGTGTTCCATTACTGGAGAAGAAAATGTCCCAGTTAAATTTCGAAAGAGTTTGAGTCCTAACAAAAGTAGCAAAACCTGTGGTTGGACCCATATTTTTTTTTTGGCTTGCAAGTGAGAACTTGCATAAAGTTTCCAAAACAGAGAAATCAACGTTTTGACACAAAGACATTTAGCAGATGAAAAAGGCTTCTACATCTTGGTATACATACTCCTCAAATTATAACCATTTGGTTAGTGACCACTCGAAGGTACAATGGCACTGAAAAAAGGGACTTTGACCATTTTTTTACACTGATGACTATTGCAGCATCTCCATGGTCACATGATCAAAATTCAGATGCTTGGCAACTGGCATGCATTTATTACAATTGCAGTGTCCCATAGTTTGACCAGCACAGTCAATGGGGAAGCCAGATTCACTTAACAACCAAGTTACTAACTTAACAAGTGCCGTGATTCACTTAACAACTGGTCAAGAAAAGTGATGAAATGGGACAAAATTCACTTCATAACTATCTTGCTTAGCAACTGGAATTTTGGGCTCAATTGTGGATGTAAGTCAGCAACTACCTGTATGCAATTCTCTACTGAGAGATTGTCTAACATGGGTGTTCAAGCGAGCATTTAGCACTAGTGTTTGACTTTTCTTTAGCTATCTTGAAAAATGTGTTAAGTACAGGTAGTTTTCAACTTACAACCGTTTGATTAACAACTGTTCGAAGTTACGACAGCCCTGAAAAAGTGACTTGACTTGAAAATATCAAGTCAAATGACTTGAAAACAAAATGAGGGTTCTCACACCTCCACCCATCACAGCATTCCCACAATCACACGAGCAAAATTCAGGTGTTTGACAGCTTATCTCTATTAATGAAGGAGAATATTAGTAGCTCATAGAGTTGCTCTCTGAGCTTGCTTGTTTTCTTGCAGATGTTTCATTACCCAAACTACGTAACCTCATCAGTGCTAGATGATAGATAGATATAGATAGATAGATAGATAGATAGATAGATAGATAGATAGATAGATAGATGATAGATAGATAGATAGAGATAGATGATAGAAATAGATAGATAGATAGATAGATAGATAGATAGATAGATAGATAGATAGATAGATAGATAGATAGACAGATAGACAGATAGATAGACAGATAGACAGATAGACAGATAGACAGATAGACAGATAGACAGATAGATAGATAGATAGATAGACAGATAGACAGATAGACAGATAGATGATAGATAGACAGATAGACAGACAGACAAATAGTCAGACAGACAGACAGACAGACAGACAGACAGAGGTCCTTGGTGCTCTCTGAACTTGCTTGTTTTCTTGAAGATGTTTCAATACCCAACTAGGTAACATCTTCAGTGCCACAGCCGTGCTATACACAGTTTGGGTAATGAAACACCTGCAGGAAATCGAGCAAGCTTAGAGAGCATCAAGGACCTTTCAACTCTTCTCTATCCTAGAATTGCCATTTTGGTCCTTGTCCTTGAAAGTTGCTGAAATTTTTCAGTTATGGGTAAAGTTTTTTTTAGTTCTGGAAAAGACAGAGCAGTTAGCAATGAAACCGTGATATATAAAACTCTCCAAGATTTCCTGGGTCTTTTCCAAAGCTGACTTCAGCATTCATTTATTTAATGCGGTTGTCATTCCAAGACATTGGTGATAATTTATGGCTGGGAAACTCATTTGTTCATCATCTGGTTTAGCCTGGTCACCACAATACAAAAAAAGACGCTGTGATCTTAGGAAGACTGCAGAGAAGAGAAGAGAAGAGCAGAAAAGACAAGAGGCTAAACTGTACAATGAAAGGTTGCAGGAACTCGGTATGTCTTCTACTCTAACTAAGAGAAGGACGAAGGGTGACAGGATAGCAGCCTTCCAGTATTGAGGGGCTGTCGCAGAGAAGAGAGGGTTGTCCTGCTCTCCAAAGCACCTCAGAGCAGGACATGAAGCAACGGGTAGAAGATTATTAAAAAAGAGAAGTCCAACCTAGAAGAAATTTCCTGAAAGTGAGAACAATTAATTAGTGAAACAACAAAAGTTGTGGCTACTCCATCATTGAAGGTTTTCAAGAAGAGACTGGACACCCATTTGTCCACAATGGTATAAGGCAAACTTATGGCATGCATGCCACAGGTGGCATGCGGAGCCATTTGTGTGGGCCTCAGCCAAAGTTACCTGCACTGCGCATGCACGTGCCTCGCAGTTCATTTTTGGCCCATTTGAGGCCTTTTTTCGGCCTCCCTGAGAATCGAGGGAAGCCTCTGCAGCCTCGGGAGGCCGAAAAATGGGCCTTCCAGAAATACTGGAAGTGCCCGTTTTCAGCCTCCAGAGGGTCTCTGGAGCCCGGGGGAGGCTGTTTTCACCCTCTTGGGGACTTGAGGGAAGCCTCTGCAGCCTCAGGAGGCCGAAAAATGGGCCTTCTAGAAATACCAGAAGTGCCCATTTTCAGCCTCTGGAGGGCCTCTGGAGCCTGTGGGAGGCCGTTTTCACCCTCTTGGGGACTTGAGGGAAGCCTCTGCAGCTTCAGGAGGCCGAAAAACGGGCCTTCTAGAAATACCAGAAGTGCCCATTTTCAGCCTCCGGAAGGCCTCTGGAGCCTGTGGGAGGCCATTTTCACCCTCCCGGGGGCTCGAGGGAAGCCTCTGGAGCCTTTGGAGGCCGAAAAACGGGCCTGTTTTGTCACTTCCGGTATTTCCGGTATTTCCAGTATTACCTGCAGTGCAGGTAAGGGGGCGTGAGGGGGTGTTGCGCGTGCCTGTGCAGAAGGGGGCAGGGGGCATTGCCTTCTGGGTCCTGGCATGCGAGCACTTGCAAGCGCAGTTTTTTGGCATGGGAGCCCAAAAGGTTCGCCACCAGTGGTATAAGGTCTCCTTCTTGAGCAGGAGGGTGAACTAGAAGACCTTCAAGGTTCCCTCCAACCCTATGACAGATAGTCCTCGACTTACAAAAGTTCCTTTAGTGACCGTTCAAAGTTACCACAGCACTGAAAGTAGTGACTTATCACTCTTTTTCATGATTATGACCTTTTCAGCCTCATCCTTTTGACCATGAGATCAAAATTCAGACGTTTGGCCACTGGCTCATATTTATTCATATTTAAAGATAAATCATATTTATATTTATGATGGTTGCAGTGTCCCTGGGATGTCATGGGATCCCCTTTTGCGACCTTCTGACAAGCAAAGTCAATGAGGAAGGCAGATTCACTCAACAACCGGATTACTAACTTATCAACTGCAGTGATTCGCTTAACAACTGGGGCAAGAAATGTCGTAAAATGGAGCAAAGCTCCCTTAACAAATGTCTCCCTCCCTTAAACAACAGATGTGTTGGGCTCACCCGAGGATTATCTATGTTCTAGGTTCTAGAAAGTGACTTCAACTGTCAGCAGATGGCACTATTGCTCTTATTGAAAATGTAGCACCAGAAAATCCGAAATGCAAACCTGGAAGTGACAATAATGTTCCTGATTACCAAGGTTGTTTTGTACTCAACTTGATCCCAGGCCCCTCTGCTCTTGGTGAGGCTAGCGAGAAAACAGCTGACTTTTCAAAGGCTTTTCGAGAATAAAACCAAAGTAAGATCCTCCTTCATTGGAAGGTGCCCTTGAACCCTTTGGAATGAATGAAGAACAGCATAAATTGGATCGCTCAAGCAGGGCCCTTGAGTAGACCCTAGGCTGCCTGTGAATTCACTGCCCGCAAGAGAAATAAATATGGCATGAATAAGCAAGGATAAAAGCAAAGTCCTATTTTACTGCATATTTTACTGCATGCAGTCAATCAATCAGAATAGAGCTGGAAAGGACCTTGGAGGTCTTCTAGTCCAGCCCCCTGCTCAAGCAGGAGATCCTATAGGCCTATACCATTCCAGAGACACCTCTGTCCAGTCTCTTCTTAAAGCCCTCCAGTAATGAAGCACCCGCGACTTCTGAAGGCAAGGTGTTCCACTGGTTAATTGTCCTCAGTGTTAGGAAGTATCTTACTAGCTCCAGGTTGCTTCTCTCCTTAATTAGTTCCCATCCATTGTTTCTTGTCCTGCCTTCGGGTGCTTTGGAAAATAAACTGACGCTCTCGTTGTTCCCAAGTCAGTGCCAAAGATGCCTGGCTTCTGATTATTATTATTTTTCTTCCCAGGACTATTATAAAAGCCCATGCGAGACCTACAGACCGATGCCTTTACACCCTCTCGTGTTTCATCTTTGTTTTCGTATGTTTTCTTTCTGCGGCAACAGGGACAGGCCAAAAACTTTCAAAGGGCAGCCCAGGGAAGAAAACTTCGTCCCAGGCGTGTCTTTGTCTATCCTCTCCAGCCGAAGCAGGAAACCGAGCGTTGGGAAAGACACGAGCCCAGAAACTGAAGACGAGTGTCCCGAGCCGCTGGAAGGAGGCACGTTTCTTCTGCAAGTGGGCCCAGTTTGCTCTTCAGTCAGTTCTAGATCGGGAGCCTAGCAGAACCTCCAGCAGCAGAGAGACGCTACCTTAAGATATCTAGCTCCCTGCTTTGCACGCCAGAGAGCCCAGATTTAAGCCACTTCGTCCTAAAATTCTGGGGAAAATCTTGTCTAAAACCGTACCCTGTTGCCCTCAACCGGCGTGAGAGATAGATGTAGTCCTCTACTTACAACCATTCATTTAGTGACCGTTTGAAATTACAAAGGGCACTGGAAAAAATGACTTTCATGCTTACAACCATCGCAGCATTCCCACAGCCTTGTGATGAAAATGTATTTATTTTGTTCAAAAGTATCATTTATCTTTATTTTATTGTTTTACTAATTAGATGTATATGCCACCCGCCTGGCAGTCACGTGACTAGGTAGCTTACAACATGCCAAATTTGGGCGTTTGGCAACTGGCATGTATTTACAATGGTTGCAGTGTCCCAGGGTCACGCAATCGCCACGTGTGACCTGGCTTCCGACAGACAAAGTCAAGGGGAGAAGCCAGACTTGCTTAACAACAACATGATTCATTTAACAACCATGCCAAAAAAAAAAAACCGATAAAAATCAGCCATGTCTCACTCAACAACTCTCCTGGAAATTCAAAATCCCAATTGTGGTCGTAAGTCGAGGACTACCTATCCTGAGCCAAAAAGATCCATTGTACCTAGTGCCTTCTCAATGGATTGGGACTAAAACTCCCAGAATTTCCAGCATATTTTAGGAGTAGCTATGTTGTTAGCAACTTTAGGAACTGGATTCTCAGTGGATCCAGAGAGATCCAGTTTGGGAAGGATGCAGAGGTGGTATTCAGCAGGTTCTGACAGGTTTTGGAGAACCGGTAGTAGAAATTTTGAGTAGTTCGGAGAACCATAGCAGAAATTTTGGGTAGAATACCCCCTCTGACTGGCCCCACCCCCATCTATTCTCCACCTCCCGAGTCCCGGCTGATTGGCTGGGTCTTCTTTTGTTGCCCTGCACAGGAGAACGGAGCTGGAAAGCAGGTTAGTGGGATGGGGAGGGAATGGGGATTTTGCAGCAATCTTCCCCTGCCACACCCACCAAGCCAAGCCCACCAAGCCCACCAAGCCATGCCCATAGAACTGGTAGTAAAAAAATTTGAATCCCACCACTGGAAGGATGGTGAGCAGTTTAAAAAGAGAAACATCTCTACTTGTAGCACTATATCATCTGAAATAAATGTTATTTTCTTCTTACAGATGAGTCTCCTGAACACAGACTTTCTCCAGAAAGCAGGATCTCCCCTAACATCCTTCTCCAGGGAGACCATGCTCTGGATATGGTAACTTATTTCCTATCTAACTTTAGTCTTTTTTGTCTTCTCTCCCTGAATTTGATTCTTGATCTTGGGCTAAAAGCTCTCCTGAAGGTGGGCATAGAAATTATTAGTAGGAAACAGTTTAAGAGCTGTGATGGCGCAGTGGTCAGAATGCAGTACTGCAGGCTAATTCTGCTGACTGCCGTCTGCCAGCAGTTTGGCAGTTCGATCCTGACCGGTTCATAGTTGACTCAGCCTTCCATCTTTCCCAGGTCGGTAAAATGAGAACCCAGATTGTTGGGGGCCATAGGCTGACTCGTTTAGAAGAGCTGTAAAGCACTGTAAAGTGGTATATAAGTCTAAGTGCTTATTGCTATTACTTCTGGACACTTCACAGTTGGCTTGAAACTAGCAAAGTTAGGGTTAAGTTATATAGTATCAGAAACCAGTCTTTCTGATGCTGGAAAATGCCATTTCTTATATTATATGCATGGTGGCGCAGTGGTTACAATGCATATTGAAAACTAATTTGCAGGCTGCCATCTGCCAGCAATTCGGCAGTTCAGTTATGAACTGTGATGTCTCAGTGGTTAGAATGCAGCATTGCAGGCTAATTCTGCTGACTGCCGATTGGCAGTTCTAGCCTGACTGGCTCAAGGTTGACTCAGCCTTCTATCCTTCTGAGATGGGTAAAGTGAGGACCCAGATTGTTGTGGGCAATATGCTGACTCTGTACACCGCTTAGAGTAAAGCACTGTAAAGCAGTATATAAGTCTAAGTGCTATTGCTATATAATCAGAGATGTCCAACTTTGGCAACTTGAAGACTTGTGGACTTCAACTCCCAGAATTTTGGAGTTAAAGTCCTTGAGTCTTAAAATCGTCAAGGATGGACAACCTGAAGGCTGGATGCTGCTGCTTATATACCAAATGTTGTTCCAATACATATTTCACATTCCTGGTGATTTCTCATACATTAACCTCTTTAAACTATTCTTTCCTTATTTATTTACTTGCTTATTTCTAAAATGTATCCATTTGTACCAGTTTTCCCAGACTGTATAGTACTTTGAGTCTTCCTTTTCTTTTAATTTTAGAGTAATTTGTCCATTTCAGCGCAATTGTAGATTTTTTTGGATTATTAAACTCTCTGTTGGCATGTGGTCTCCTTTCCAACATTGTGCGAGTGCTAGGGATTATTCTTTCAACTGCAGCCTTCAAAGTGATCTATTTATAATCTATATTTATGATGAGCTGGTCACCTGGGATCTTTCCAATTTAATGGCTCTGTTCTAACCTACTTAATTGGAACACTTGGGAGATAACCGTATTGTAGGAACAGCAAAACTGGGTTAATTAACTGGCCTAGTCAACCACTGTAATTCCAGAGGGTTATTTTTAACCCAAAGTGAACCTAGGCATATCCAAGGGTTACACTCGCCCCAAAAGGCCAACCAGCTGATCCATTTTACATTCTCAGTCTCTTTTTCTTGAAGACCTGGGGGGAAGGGGCTGAAAAATTAACCTTTGCCATTCTAGAACTTATCACCATGGGCTGGTACCACAGAACACAGCATTCTGGTTGGCTGCAGTGTCTATGCCCAGTCTGAAAGAGGGAATTTATATCTATCAAGCAATAGATAGATCATCTGACTGTCTGTCTATAATTTTTGTGTGATGACCCGGGTCATGGCACAAAGGCAACACCGTCAGATAATCAGTAGGATTCCCTTTATTAGCTCCAACTTCGCCCCCAATGTCCTGGTTACCTTCTGGCTCTCCCAGACTCTCCCAGCCCTTGGCTGCAGAAAATCAAATCCAAAACATGGTCAACAAAAACTGTAACTATAAGTCCAATCAAGGCAAAATAAGGTAATTGGTCCGACAGGGCAGGAGCCAGAATTCCAGACATGAAGGCATGGCAATAGCTCCACATGGTTGGGAAGACGCCAGGAACACAGATAAGCAAAGTCAACACAAGATAAACTCACATTTGCTCCCAGCAGCTGCCGCACTCAGCATGCATTTCTTTTAAACTCTCATTCCCAGGCGTGGCTAATGAAGGGAATCAGGGCCCTTTCCCCTCCTGTAGGCCATGCAACCCATGTTCTCTTCTCCGAACTCCCTCTCCCTTGTTCTACCTCTCCCCTGATCTGCCCAGCTGGACTTTGCCCTTCCCCAGTTTCCTCCACAGCCAACAGAGCCACACTCCCACTCCCTGTCAGCTGTTCATCTTCCTCCTTGTATTCAGACTCCGACAGGGACATGACACTTTGAATTGTCATCTCCCTGGGGCCCTGGGCAGTGTACAATAAAAAAAGTGCCAAAACATAAAAACAGTGATAAAAGTTAAAATTTTAGAAGGAAGTAGGGCTGATTAAACACTGTTAAAATTAGTTAAAAGAGGAAGGGGGGCGGCTCTCAAGCAACTAGCCAACCCCACAGCTGCAAGCTCCTCTGGGCTCCCCATGTGAGACCCATGTTTTGACTGCTCTCTTCCTTCCTCTGTTTTTAGAGCTCTCAGAAGAGGGTCAACCAATTGCAGGGAACCGTTGAGCTGAAGAGAACAGGATCCCGAACCTCCTCACAAGAAAGAGATTACCCAGAAAGTGGCTCCCCACCCCTTACAAGCAAAACACCACCATCTCCTCACTGTGATCAAAGTCCCAGCTTTGAAGCGTAAGTGGTCATCCCTCCAATAATTCCTACATTACAGGTAGTCCTCGACTTATACGATCGCAATTGAGTCTTGTTGCTCAACAAGACAGAGGTTAAGCAAGTTTTGCCCCATATTACGACCTTTTTTTGTCACTGCTGTTCAGTGAATCCCTCTAGGTGTATCATCCAACAAAAGATGTCCATAGCCAAAAGTCATCAATCATGCTCTCCAATTAGATTTTTGTGCGGCAGAAGCTTCAGTCATCTAATCAGTCTTTGAAGAAAATATGAATGGAATGTACTTTTGATTCCACACTGCCACCTGCTCTTTGAAACATCCCCCGCTTCTTTCTTTTGTCAACTATAAAACGTTTATACAAAATGTTCTATGAGTTGACATTCTGCAGTTGTCAGTAACATGGTTGTTAAGTGAATTTAGCTTCCCTCATTAGCTTTGCTTGTCAGAAGGTTGCAAAAGGGGATCACGTGACCCCGGGGCACTGCAACCGTCATAAATATGAGTCAGTTGCCAAGAGTCCGAATTTCGATGACGTGACCAGGGAGATGCTGCAACGGTCGTAAGTGTGAAAAACGGTTATAAGTCACTTTTTCCTGTACTGTTGCAAGTTCAAACAGTCACTAAATGAATGGTTGTAAGTCCAGGACTACCTGTACAGTCTTCAACTTCCTTCTGGATAAGAAGGGCATTTTTCTAGAGTAAAAACTCTATGCCTTTTAGTCATTCTATTCATCACCCTCATTCTCATTCCATCTGCATTACTATTACTATTAATTCTCCCATCCTTCCTTTTACCCATCCCTTCCCACTTGTGACTGTATGTGTCAGTCTGTGCTCCATTCAAAATCCAAGAAAGAAACACTCAGACTCCAATGGTTAGAGCAAAGGTTTTCCTTTTACTGAATTTCAAAGTGGAAGCTACAGGGAAGATTCTGAATCTAAAGAATATGGCGCGCAGATCACATATACAAAGGGATGGAATTGTTCCCACCCCCCAAAGTCCAAAAGACTCTTCCAATTAAAAGTTCTGAATATGATCATGTGGGCATCTTCAGGTGGTGATGAGGCCTCTGTCCGTTGACCTTGACATATTTTGATAAAACTTCGCAGCTGCGCAAAAGGAAAGAAAGCTAGGCAAGGAAATAGAAACTTAAGGACAAGAATTTATACTCCCCCTCCTCCTTCTCATCTACAGCACAGGAATGTAACACCTCCAGCTTTCTTCCCCTCCAGTCCCCGTCCCCCCCCTTACTAATGACAGCCGAAAGAGAGCAATGAGCATAGCAGTAGAAAAGATGTAGAAGAGATCTTGAGGCTGACAGTATGATTGTAACTTTGTTGCTGGTATCCTTACGATTTTTATTGACTGTTTCCTAGTATGATTTGATTCCTTATTTGTACCCTATGACTATTATTAAGTATTGTATCTTATGACTCTTGACGAATGTATATTTTCTTTTATGTACACTGAGAGCATTTGCACCAAGACAAATTCCTTGTGTGTCCAACCACACTTGGCCAATAAAGAATTCTTATTCTACTCTACTCTACTCTACTCTACTCTACTCTACTCTACTCTATTCTATTCTATAAATCCAAAAGAGGATTGAGCCTGGTTTTCCCCAGACTTGGTCCAGTATTTCCAAGGCTGCTGCATTTCTAAACTCTTGAAAAAAATAGAAATTTGAAAGAATCCATCAAGACTGGGAGTTCCCTTCAGCAGTGAGTAGCTCCAGAATAATCTGAATTTTCTCCTTTCTCCATCTCTCTCAAACACATGCACAGGTAGTCCTCAAATTACCACCACAACTGAGCCCAAAATTTATGTTGTCTAGGTGAGAAATTTGTGAAGTGAGTTTTGCCCCATTTTCTCGCCACATTTGTTACGTGAATCACTGCAGTTGTTAAATTGGTAACACGGTTGTAAAGTGAAACTGGTTTCTCCATTGACTTTGCTTGTCAGAAGGCCGCAAAAGGGATCATATGACTTCTGAACCTGGCAACCGTCATAAATATGAGTCAGTTGTCAAGCATCCAAATGTAAATCATGTGAGCATGGAGATTCTGAAATGGCCATAAGAATAAAAAATGATCATAAGTCACTATTTTCAGTGCCACTGTAACATTGAGCAGTCACTAAATGAACTGTTGTAACTCGAGGTTTACCTGAACGAGTGCCTAGATCCTTTGCTTATGGCAATCTTTACCAAGCTGATCTTTATGCGTGTCAGAAGCACCTACAAATTATAGACATATAACATTCATCATTGAGCCAACAAAGTAGGTATAAAATAGGACATTGAAATATAGCACGTGTAAAAAAAATGTAGAATAAATAGGATTAAAACTAGGTTAAAACAAACCTGATGTTCTCCGGTGAGTTATTCTGTGATGGCCCACAGGCCCAGCCAGCAGTTTTTGGTCAAATTGTTTGAGAATTGTGATTGATGTAGGCAAGATATCTTGACATCTCACATCTGTGGCATCCCGAAACTGAAAGTTCTGGGCTTCCTTGCAAAAGTCAAAAATACAAATCCATCCCCCCTTAGCCATTATCACATCGCATGATCCAGTCACCATCTGTCCTAAAGTAAGATTCCCATTTCACTATGTACCACACTCAGTGACCTTGAACCAGCAAAAGAATTTTATTTTGTCTAACTAGATATACGCAAATAAATTCCCCCCTCCCACTTTCTCAGGCTGAATTGTGGCAGCGTGGGAGCATCAAATCTCAATATGGCTTCCAAAGCTGACACTTGTCTTTAATTGCAAGTGTGTCAGGACTCCAACAAATCCACCCCCATTTAAATCAAAAGTGTCTAGCCGCATCTCAGAGAAAAGAAAATTGATTTATTAGAAGTGGCCATGTTGGCGTTTAGCTGGGTGCAGCCGATACTAAATCACATCATACATTTCCCCCTTGACCCTGGTCTTCCCCCCACCTCCTGGCTGTGACTTCTCCAATGGGACACATCCATCTTCAAGAGTTATCCATCATACTCTCCAATAACTTTCTTATGCTCTGACAACTTTGGGCTGCCGGGATGATTATCTAAGCATTTAAGGAATGCCTTGTTTTCCCCCACTCCCTTTTCCTGGCAGCTAAAAAGACCAAAGGAGTATCTTTTTAGTTGACAAAGTGTTAATCTGTTCATTTCTGCCCATTCTAATATTTTCCTAATCACATTTATTTCTCTAGATTTTTAAGAGCCAACAGATTGGATTGCCGTGCCTCCACCTCGCCTTGTGAGAACCTGAGGTTCACCACCAAAAAGGAACACCTCTACCTCTTCAACCAAAGTTTAGCCCTGCATCATCTTGGCCTCCGGAATAACTCGGCCAGCAAAGAGGGCGATTTCCCTCACCACCTGTTGCTGGCTAAGGATGTCGGCAGTCGACTGAAGCCCCACGAGGAGTGGGAAGACCGAGCTACCATCTTGGAACTCCCTGGCGCTGTGTTGTACATGAAGGACCGCCATCTGGAAAACAGGCTCCAGCTTCTTAACAGCTCGGAGAAACTCCGTTGCTTGTTGATGGAGCAGGAAGGGAAAGGAAGAAGCGAGGACGGCTCGGATCAATCTTGGAGTCAGATCCCTTCGCTATCCCCAAGCGTCGGCAAAGAAGGGAAGAAGGAAAAACACTGCCCAGAAGACTCAGTGGACGATACACTAGAGCAGCTGTTCCAGGTCAATAGAGAAAACCCAGACCAAGGAGAGAAAGCCACATCTGTGCAGGACAATGCCACGGAAGCACCTCTGGATTTATCGGATTATGGAAGGGGAAGAGAAAGTGGCACCAACTGGCACCATCAGTCCTCAGTGAAACATGAAAGGCGAAGTCCAGGCAGAAATGAGAATGAGGACGCTGTTGTTCAGAAAACCTGTTTGTCCAGCTGGCTTGGGACCACCCAGAAACACCATTACGGGAACCAACAACTGGAATCATTCACGGCCAGAACCAGGGAAAATGTAGCAGTTTCTCCGGTAAGAAATATATTTTTCATCTGTGCATCTTTTCTTTGGCTATTTCTGCCCCAACAATTTCCTCGGTTATATTCAGCTACTTCATACATATTGGTAGTCCTTGACTTACCATCATTCATTTAGTGACCATTTGAAATTACAACGGCACTGAAAAAATAGATTGATGACAGTTTTCACACATATGACCATTACAGTATCTCCATGGTCATCATCGTAGGGTCTCCTGCTTGAGACCCTAGGGTGGGAGGGCCAATCTTGCACTTTTCTCTTCTTTCTCCTGTCCTCTTTTCTGTTCTTTATCCTCTCAGGCCTCAGCTGGTGTGAAGAAAGCTGCACATCTTAGGTGCGTGCGTGTTAGGTGCGTGCGGGAACATGCTCCCACACTGCTGAAAAGTTGGCCTGAGGTACAAAGGCCGATGGGAAATCTTTCGCTCACCTGAACAGGATCATTAAAGAGAGAAGCAACCTAGAACTAAGGAGAAATTTCTTGTCAATGAGAACAATTAATCAAAGGAATGACTTACGTCCAGAAGGTGTGGATGTTCCACAGTGGAGGTTTTCAAGAAGAGACTGGCCAGCCATTTGTCCAGAATGGCATAGGGCAGGGGTGTCCAACCTTGGCAACTTTAAGACTTGTGGACTTCAACTCCCAGAATTCCTCAGCCAGC